ATATTAATATATTTAATTTATAATATTTAAAATTATTAAATTAAATATATATATCTTTATATTATGCCTTCGATGAGACTTGAACTCAGATAGACCGCGCTTCAAGCGATTGCTTTAACCATTAAGCTACAAAGGCATTATTATACAAGGGCAAATAGAATTGAACTATTATACAATGTGTTGAAGACATCTGCTTTACCATTAAGCTATACCCTTATATACTTATAATTTATTATTATATTAATAATATAAATGATCTTTATATATATATATAAATCATGTATTAATGATTATAATTTATAATTATTATATTAATGAGTCGTAATGGATTCGAACCATTAACTAAGACGTGTAAGATCTACGATTTACCATTAATCTAACAACTCTAATTAAATATATTAATTTATGCCCTATTAGGAATCGAACCTAAATTGTTATATTAGAAGTATAATGTTTTACCTTTAAACTATAAAGCATATAAACTTTATATATATATAAATAAAATAAATAAGATATCTCACCTATGAAGTAAATATTATAATATAAAAAGAATAATTATAATAATATTATAGCATCTAATGCATATATTAATACAGGTATAAATATAGCAATAGCGAATAATATAGGTAAGAATACCATTCAACATAAATGTATTAATCTATCATATCTAACTCTAGGTAAAGTAGCTCTAACTCAAATATAAGTATAAGCAAATACATTAGCTTTTAATGCTAGAATAACCCCAGTACCACCACCAAAGAATAAAATAGCAGTTAATGTAGATAAGAATAAAATAGATGCATATTCAGATAAGAAGAATAAAACAAATATAGATGAAGAGTATTCGGTCATATGACCTGAAACTAATTCAGATTCAGCTTCAACTTCATCCATAGGAGGTCTAGCTGTTTCAGCAACACAACCAATATATCACATAATAGATAAAGGTAATAAAGGGATACCTATTCAAATAGATTCTTGTAATTCAACATATTTACTTAAATTCATAGTACCAGCTAATAAAATACAAATAAGTATAATAGTAGTTAATATAAGTTCATAACTAATTAATTGAGCAGTAGCACGAATACTACCAAGTAAAGAGTATTTACTATTACCCGATCAACCTGCAAGTAAAGGACCAAATACACCAACACTACTAATAGCTAACATAAGAATAAAACCATAATTACTATCATAAATAGTAACACCTGGAGCAAAAGGAATAATACTTCAACATAATAATGAAGAAATTAAAGCTATCATAGGACTAATAAATAATATAAATTTATCAGCATGAGTAGGAGTAATAATTTCTTTAAGTAATAATTTAGCAGCATCAGCTATAGCCATTAATACACCTAAATAACCAACAGCATTAGGACCAGTACGTCTTTGCATATATGCCATAGTTTTACGTTCAGCTACAGTTAAGAAAGCAACAGCTAATAATACACTAAGGAACATAATTAATAATTCAATATATTGCATTATTTAGTAATAGCAATAGCCCCTATAACAGATAAAATTAAAATTAAACCTATAAAAATCATTGGAATAGCATATTCCGTATATAATAATGAACCTACTGTAGATAATTCTAAATCTCAATCTAATAAACCATTGAATGGATATGCTATATTAACATTTTCAACTATACCATATGTTTCATATGATAAATCTAATGGTATTAAACATATTAATAATATAGTAAATATTAAAGGATGAATTGTTCCTTTATAATTATATTCAATATTTAATAATGATAAGATAAATAAAAATAAAATAGCTATAGCTCCAACATAAATAAGAACATAAAGAATACCCATAAGTACAAAACCATTAGAATATAAACTTATAGCTGCACTTACAAATAATGCTATTAAACATACAATTGATTGAACAGGCGATAATAGACCTATAGCTAATATACTACTAATACCGCTTATTAAAAACATATTTATAATATATATATATAATTGATTATATCTTAAATATATTATATTTTAAGATAAATGAAATATAATTTATATTTCTCAATTAAACAATGTTTATACATTCTCGTATAATAAAGATTTAATATTCTTTATACGTTTTAAACTAGAATCGAACTAGTATCATTGTATTAACAGTACAAGGCTTTAACCGTTAAGCTATTAAAACTTATAATATATATAATATATAATTTAAATATTAAATGAAATTATATATATATAAAAGAATAATTAATAAAATGTTTATAATGCCCATCTTTTATAAATGGGGTGATTATATATAATTAAATAAATATATAATATAATTAATATATATTATATATGGGGGGGGTTATATTGATTAATTAATAATAATTAATATTATAAGAGATATAATATCTTATAGATATTAAACAGCGTATAATAATAAGAAAGAGATCATTAAACAGAATAAACCACAAGCCTCACTTAAGGCGAAACCTAAGATAGCTTGAGGGAATAATGTACTTCTTAAAGAAGGGTTACGTGAAGTACCGTTAATTAAAGCTACGAAAACTAAAGCGATACCGATAGCAGCACCACCTAAACCTAATGTAGCAATACTTGCACCAATGTATTTAGCAGCTAAAGCAATTTGCATAATTTTTATATAGATATATATTAGTATTAACAATGTATTAGCCCAATAAGAATCGAACTTATATTTACCGATTATCAATCAGTCTCTTTAACCATTAAGATATGGGCTATAAATAATAAATAAATGAATAGATAATATTAGTATAAATCCCGAGCAAGTTCCCTTACTCGAACTGTATTTCAACTTATAGCATATCATATGTTCATTAATACACGTAAGCGTATTAAGACATTATCTATGCTATTGATGAGTGATTAGTGCGAAATATATGTATAGTTCACCATAGCACTCTAGTCTATGATTACTAGCAATTCCTTTTTTATATTGTCGAGTTTCAGACAATAATCCAATTAAAAGAAAATTATCATAATATCTTATATTTTATATTATATTTAATAATATATATAATTATATAAGAGATAGTAGTACACCTGTGGCCCTACTCATAAGGGTCATGATGATTAGTCTTTAGCCTCTACTTCCTATATCTTATCAGATATACATCATCATAAGATCGAGGGTTTTGTTCATTAAATAACTTAATAAGATACCACAAAGCATGAACTGACGACAACAATGTAACGCCTGTATAAAATATCCAAAGATATAATATATTCAAGAGTAGGTAAGGTTTTAGGGGTATTGTCCAATTAAACAGTATACTCCACTGCATATATATATAACCGTCTAATGTCTTGCATTTCATTCTTGCGAACGTACTAGTCTGGCGGTATACTTAAAGCCTTCGCTTATCTATTTTATAGTATACATAGTTCACAGCTATAATTAAATGGGTACCGAATCCATGTCACTACTATAGCTTTCATCCCTCAGTGTCATTTTATTTTCTGTATATTCTTTGCTGTCTTATAACTATCATAGTATTTTATCCCTAAAGTTATATTTCATTATACATTTAATAAAATCTATATTATTAAACCTGCGGATCCTTTAGGCCAATGTAGATTAATGCTTGCCCTTGATGTCTAACCGCGACGGCTGGCACATCTCTTGGTCAGGACTTTATCTTTATATCAATCAGTCTTTAATATAAATATGAAATTTTATAATAATTTTTTATAAATATTAATATTTATAATTTTATTAAATTTCTTATAGATAGCATGATCAACCGTTAGGTCATTGTCAATAATTCCCCAC